GGGGGGGGTCGAGTAAGAACTCACTGATACGGCCTCGAGAGATGCCGCCCAAAGGGCTCAGGGCGTGAGGGGCGGGGCGGGTTCAGCGCGGGGCACGCTCAAAGCAGCCCGTTGTTCGCCGGGGTCAGGCCTGCCCGCCGCGCCGCGCCCGCCACGCCCCGCATGCTAGCGAGCGCCGTGTTCAAAGAGCGGGCCCCGATCCTCATCTCGGCGGCTCGGCGGCGCAGCAGGGCAGCGCGGCCTGCTTTCAAATTCAACAACCCTCAGGCTCGCGGAGCAGCGGCGGGCTGGCCGCGGGGGGCCCTCAGGGGGCCCGCAGGGGGGCCGGCAGCTACGACCCCGGAACCACCACCAGACCCACCACCGCACCCAGCCCAGCTCGAGGGAAGACCTCAATGGCGTGCAAAACGACTTAACGACCGCAGGAAGTCTTGGGCAGGACTGTACTAATCGCATTTTGCCAGTTCTGCCCAGAACAGACACGTTCCTGTCAGCTAGTTTACCCTTGCGCTCTGCTGAAATGCAGGACATCAACAGAAATCATACTGCTCTACCCTGAACTTAAGTGGCAAGGGCATTCCCAGACATCAACAAGGCAACAGAGAAAACAACATGCACCAACGATTAAAACATGCTTAAATCAATATTAGATGAGTGAAACAATTACCCCTAAAATAACATTTACAAATTAAGGGGTAGTTGATAAGCATTTAATTATTTTAAATAGTGGTTTTTTAGAAAATAAACCACAGAATTAAAAGTCTGAGTGAAAACTATTTTACTATCTTATAATGAAAGCTAAATAGCACTGTAAACTTAAAGACATAAAAGCCAAACAAAAACATTCAAGAATTTGACAAATTGTCGGAAAGAAAATGAGAAGAAACTTACATTGACAAGGGTTGCTGATGGGGGTTGTTGTAGGAGACCATTTCATCACAGCTTTCACCACCTGAACTGCTCGCAGTTACGTCTGAATCCATGGCATTTTCCACCATGCGGAACTGGGTATGAAGTTGGCCAGCCACCTTCTCCACTTCCACTCTGACGTCTGCACTAATTTCCACAGCGTCCTGACCAGAGGGCACTGTTGCTGTCCGATCACTTGAACCCGAGCCAAAGTAGCGATGCTGAGGAACACGGCCGTTGGCTGCTGAGTGAGCAGACTCCTCAAATTGTCTTAACATTTGAGAAATAGTTCTAGGAAGTCTCCTATCTCGACTCACTTCCTCAGACTGAGCCTGTGTCTGTGCCTCCACCATTAGTCTTTGAGTTTCTTGCATTAACCCATTGACTTCTTCACTGGCATGCCTTCCCATACTTTTGGCTTGAAGTTTTCGGAGACGCCGCAGTAAAAACTCACAGCGACGCTCTGATTGGAATTGTTTTTTTCTGGCCTCTTCAATTCTTTCATTGGCATTACACTCTTTGGCAGGCTGCAGGGTTGTATCTGCATCAACTGCATCAGGAATATGCACTTGAGAATCTACACACATATTGATATCTTCCACTTCATTGAAAATATCTCTTTCAAAGTTAAAAGCTGTGGTTAGGTCAGCTCCATCAGGTATCGGAAAAAGACCATCCGACTCAACATTTTCAACTTGTTGTGCTGCTGACAAAGCCTCATCTAATGTTCCATCCTCCACAGTTGATTCCATACTCTTGAAAACTTGAAGCAGTTCATCCATATTGGGACCAATATCACTGCTATTGATTGCTGCACCCAAATTCTTGAACAGCTGGTCCACTTCTGGTGGAAGGAAGCTTTCCTTCAGGAAACTTCCTGCTTCCAACGTAGGTGCCATGCCTGGATGTGACTTCTGTAAGCCCATGTTATTAGATTGATCTTGATTGGAAGAATCACTATTCATCATAAGGCTACTGTCTCCGTTTACTCCCTTGCAATCCGAGACTACGTCGAGGCACGGGGCGACGCAAGACTCAGCAGGGATTACAATGCGAGGGCGATTTGGCTTGAGGTTGCCCAAGCTGGCTTTCAACTTAGTTCCATTGATGCAAACACTGTCACCATTGAGGATGTTATCACTCTTCAAATGCCGGGCCACATCACAGAAGAATATCTCATCGCTCACAGCACGCACTGCAGCCGTTGGGGATGCAGGTGACGAATGTGATGAGAGCAACTTGAAGTTTTGAGTTTGACCAGGTTCCGTCAAGGCTGGGGCCATGACAACATCTGGCTCCAAGCCTTCTCCTAATCTCACTCATCCATGAGATTGTTCAGTCAGTTCCTACAGACAGACAAAGTCACACATCACACGCTGTCCTAAACACTCACACATAGTGGCATCACACTGGCAAACTATTGTCATTGTTTATAGTCGCCGGTTTAGGGTGATTGCGACCCATTCGCGAGGTTTGGCCGACACCCATCACAGACCACTCACTGAAAACAAACATGGAAGGGTTAGGCGGCCCGTTCTGCTAGGCCGGCCCGGCTGCGGGGGCTGTGGGGGCCCCTGGCCCGGCTAGGCCCTGTCCCACGTGACGCGGCGGGGTCTAGCGCAGCTCGCGCGGCGAGGGCGACGGAGGGCAGCACAGCGCTGGTGCGGCCCGCGCGGCCCGCTAAGACCACCATCGCAACATAGCACGGCGAGGGCAGCACAGCGAGCAACGCCCGCGCGGGCACCGCCAACGACACTTGTATCCAAAGCGAGCACTATCGGTATCCACTACACAGTATCCAAACACCGCTTATGCGGTTAGGGGCAGCATTTCAGTCCGAACAATGGCGGGCAGGGCGCGCAGTACGCCGGACTTGCGGGCACCAACGCGCTTCTCCCATCGACGCAGCGCGCAGCGACGGACTCGGAAAAAACCTCAACGAACCTCCAAGGCCGAAGCCCACAGCCACTACTGGGCTCACTGCATTATCACCACACTACCCAACGAAAATTTTCACTGCCAGACACTGTAGTTTAGATGTGTAAAATGTCTTTGAAAAAATCCAATATTAATTTAGAAGCACTAAGTTCGTTTGTTTTTTGCACTGTTATTATTTGGTTTACAACGAAAATAGTTGATGTGTTGATCCGGTAGTAGGCTGACGTCACTTCACAGACCTCTCTCCACGCCAATGGCGAACGCGTCACTCCCATGGCACACCTTCCAGATTTCACCCATATTGAGCGTTCGAGCCACTGAAAACTACTCAGTACTCACAATAGCAAGTAATATTGATCACACATGTTCATTTTTCAGCCACTTGAGAGGCGGCGAAGACTTTCTAGGCTATCTTGAGAGAAATCGTAATGGCGGACGCTCCGTTGTGAGGCCCGAGAGCACGATGAAACAGCTTGGTGGGGGAGCGAGCACAGCGATGCGACATTTTAAAAGCGGCAGAGCGCATGCGCCGGAGCCGACCGGGCTCCGCTCCATAGTCCGTTTACGCGCACCATGCCCCTGGCAGACATGACGGCGCAACATTCGATGGTTGTAGAAAGGAGATGAAAGGGCAACGTTGAGCTCAAGGCATGATAAAGAGGAATAAATGTTTCTATCTTGAGGCTCCAACACGTTTACGTCAATCATGAAATAATACCAATTTCATGGTAAAATTGAACTATTTGCAGCAGTGCCTGTTACTTAAAGTATAGGCTGGCATTACAGTCGTTTGAGACACATAAAATTCAACTAACATTCTATAGCCAGATCAGAGTTAAAACAAGAGAAACATTGCAGTAATGTAGTAAACCAGTACATGTTCGATGAAGCGTGCTATACACCCCCCACCATTGCCCCCTCCCGAGCCGAAGCTAGAGCCGAAGCGACATCCCGAACGACGCTTCTCGCGCTCAGCCGCCATGAAACGAAATGGACTTTGGCTCCAAATTCAAAAAGTTAGAAACTATGTGCTTGAGGGGGCTTGAGAAAGGGTGGCCCTGCCCTTTCTCAAACTATGTGCCACCTAAAGGCATGGTCTACACCAAGTATGCTGAATGTCAAGAAATGAAAACATTATCACTTAGGTGGTTTACGTATGAGAAAAATCTTACCTTAAAATAAGGGTAATATCCATATGCAGTTGAAGATAGTATCCAAAAAAGATGGTAATCCATGGTATCCAAATATGAGGCACAAAATATCACAAAATTTTTCACTTTCACTTTCCACACAACACTTTTTGCTGATAGAGCCACAAAGAGACTTTTAGAGATTTGATCACTGCTATTGGCACACTTTCACACAGCACTTGGATGGCATTCATGGCAACACCATTGCGACTGACACACAATGGTTTTTCTTGACACTTCATCATGACTTCCTTTTAGTAGAAACCTCTTGTAGATATGGTGACTCTGCTTTCCACCTACAACATAAAAATGGAACAAGACTCATCAGTCGAAAGTTTAAGACACATTTAAATTGGAGGATATTTTAATTCTAGGAAGGTTTTAATTATGTGGGCATGGACATAATCAAATCCAACGTTCATGAGAAAAAATTATGACTTAGAAGCTCTCTAAAACACACAGCATAATACCTCAGAAAAAGTAAATCATCATTAATCACAAATTTCTAATTTTATTACTTAGGAGGAAAATGTGCAGATTTACTCTACAATAAATATGAAATAAAGAAAGACGCCTTGAAAACAAAAATGAAGAGCGCTTCATGCTTTCTGGAGAAAAGGTCCATTAAGTGGATCCGCTAGATGAGCATTTGGCCTAGCTCCACACGGAGAGTGGTTATCTTCTCTGACGTTGCGGTAAAATTAATTAAACAATACAGTAATGATAAACAAAAAACCCATAACCAGTTGATTGAAATAGATTAACTTGATATTTTTATCTAGCTAAAAATAATTGAACGCAGCCATAGTTGGGAATGTCCAAGCATTGCATCCTACTTCCCAAACTCCATCAGGATGATTTTACTTAAATCATTTTTGAAAGAGGGCAAGAACTAAAATATAATTTCTCTAACTTTTGTTAATATTAAAAATGTAAAAATACAATGCGCTTCAATCAATAGTACCCAAGCAACTGTGGTTTCAACTAAAATGTTCTGGTGTGTCAACCTGATACAACCTCTAATGGCATGAGCAACAAGCTTGGTAACTTAACCAAGATATGTGATACTACTCACAAACAAAATTTGATCCCATAAATTCATCAAACTTTTAAAAAATTAAGTGAATTTGATTGGAATCACAAAGTATCGCTCATGCAGGCAGGTCACATGTTTAAGTGATTTTGTATAAGTGTATAGGAGAAGTTGATGATGATCAGCTGATAGGTCTGTGACAACCAACAGTGACCAAACACAGCATAGTGACAAACCATGGTTTTCCCACGAAAAGCGTTTTGCAATGACTGGCTGGAAGAAAATCAATAAGGTTGGGTTCTAAATGAAATTTCTTGTTTGCTCTTGCTTATAGAGAAGGCCTGAAATTGTTAATCGAGACGAAACTACCGCTGGGGCGGCTCATTCTAGCCTACATGACAGTGTGCACGTAGGGTTGTCAGGATGATTCAACATGAAAATGATGGAGGAATAAAGACGATTGGACGTGTAGTAAGACGATATTCCTTAAAATAAACAGATTTTTAGCGTTAATGACGTGCGATGACGATAAATTAGCCATTCTTCACACACCGATTCCAAAGAGTTCGTCGAAGGGGAATATTCCAAGTCCAGTCGTTGATCCTTTGGCACGATGAAATTGAAGACATGACGAGTCACATACTTCTAAATAGTGTCCAGACAGAGGAATGCATCAATTTTTGGTTTAGACAATTACTTACCTTCAACCGTCGGTGAACTCCTATATTTCTTCAAAAGGATTTATGATCAAGCGCACAGTATACCGACGTTATTTTGTTTTCTATGTCACGGCCACTCAAATGAACAGTTCTCCTTGAAGTTTTAAGGAAACCAACGGGCACTGATGAATCATGTTTGGCGGTAGTTTAAAACTGTCGGTGCCGTGACCCTAAATAAAACCTTTCTTCAACTAAAACTACACACCGATTTTATGATAGATTTATGTGTTTTGAGGTACTAAAGAACTTTTGGTACCTACCACAGTACACTCAAAAGTTACAATCGCGCTACTACCCTTATGTTCTAATACATGCTCCCGCCACACATAATTTGCTTTGCTGTAATTCTACAGTCGAATCATTATTTTTGATTTAACTTCCAATCCCAGCTTCTCTCCAATCACCCTCCAGAAACAATGCCAAATATTGAAGAGTAAAAATGACAGCATGACAGCCGTCTGGCCCGAACGATTTGTCATTCTGATTCGTCATTAGCTTCCGCGATAATTCTCATACTGTGTAGAACTAGGGCAGGAAGAATACAGGAGAGAGTTGCGAGTACTGACAGTTCTTGAAGATCCGTGAAGCATTCGTTTTTCACCATGGTGCTGGAAAGTACTATGATATGGTAAGATTTAACTCTTTAAAGTGTGTAGTTCTGACAGTTACGATTGATGTTGCGAACCTTATTGAACTCCATGCACTTCATAAACATTGATGTCTTGTTATTAAATTCCTATTGAGGTTAAGAAGTCATGAGTCTGATGACAAAGCATAATAGTTTGTCTGCATTTCCTTAAAACACAGTATTTTCTTGTTTTCATAGTCACATTTCATTATCCTTGAGTCAGTATCTACATTTTAGTGTATAATTGGTCCATACCAAAAGCTCCCAGTGTAGCTTATTGTCACTGTCTTTGTTGTCGCAACCTTCTCATTCACTTCATTTAATTTCATTGATTTCAAGGCGTATAATATAGGTGTATCAAAGTGTATTATTAAGCAATTTACTGTTGGCTCAACACCTAAAGTTTTGTTGCTAACTTTTATCTTATTACGATAGATTTTTTGTTTCTTGCCTATGCAGAGAACTTTTTGCGATGTTTACTAAAGATACAACCATTGTCCTAGATAATGTTCTCTACCTGCTGTACTCAACTGATACTTGGTTACTTTTTATTGTTTTAGTGTCGACAACAGTGACTTTATGAGGAACGGCGACTTCCTCCCAACTCGTCTGCAGGCTCAACAAGACGCTGTAAATCTTGTATGTCATTCAAAAACTAGAGCTAACCCCGAAAACAATGTTGGTTTGCTGACTTTGGCCAAGTGAGTATTTTTATTTTGGTATCTACATTTATTTATATGTATTACCACATTTACTCCAATTTTATATGCTGTAGGCACACACTGTGAGCAACTAATATAAACACTATTTTTTTTCAGTGTGGAAGTATTGGCCACTTTGACATCAGATGTAGGACGAATTCTTTCTAAGCTGCATCAAGTTCAGCCTAATGGAAACATGAACTTATTGACTGGTATTCGCATTGCTCACGTAAGTGTTTTTGTTTATTTATTTTTTTAATTTGTTAGAAGCAATTATGAGAGTGTTATTTGCTTTAATGCTGAAGAGAATTTCAAAAATGTTCTTCTGTTTACAGTTGGCTCTTAAGCATCGCCAGGGAAAGAACCACAAGATGCGCATTGTTGTCTTTGTTGGAAGCCCAATTACCGCTGATGAGAGAGACTTGGTTAAATTAGCAAAACGTTTGAAGAAAGAGAAAGTTAATGTAGACCTTGTAAGCTTTGGAGAAGAATTATCTGTGGGTATCCAGTCAATGAAAATTAAATTAACTTTTTATTTTAACTTGCACCTCTTTCTTATGTCACAATTTGTTCAATATTTTGTTTTCAGAACAATGACATGCTGACAACATTTATTAACACCCTTAATGGTAAGGATGGTGCAGGAAGTCACCTTGTCAGTGTTCCCCCTGGTCCTCATCTCTCTGACGCTCTCATCTCCTCTCCTGTGATTCAGGTCTGCACCATGGCTCTTTAATCTAGTTCTAATCACTCTCATTCATACATAACTTTAAATGAATATCACAAATATATTTGTTGCAGGGTGAGGATGGAACTGGTGCAGCTGGTCTTGGTGGCGCTGGTTTTGAATTTGGAGTGGATCCCAATGAAGACCCAGAACTTGCATTGGTAATGTTGATTCTTCCCCTTTGTTCCATAACTATTCCGTAACACTTTTTGTGTGGAAACTGGTAACTAATTTTACTGTACATTTTATATTAGGCTCTACGTGTTTCCATGGAAGAGCAACGTCAAAGACAGGAGGCTGAGACTCGCAGGGCTATGGCTGCATCTGAAGGATCAACCCCTGTGCCTACAACTATTAAGGAGGGTAGGTTTGAAGTTGTTAAGGTTTTAGCTGATGAGATAATATATTTTATCTTTGCCTAAATTTTTTGGTATGACTAACATTTAACACCTTTATTCTTTATAGTTCCAAATGAGGAGGCAATGCTTGAGCAAGCTCTGGCCATGTCCATGGAAGTAGATGAGAATGCACCAGCTCAGCCAGACATTGCAAGCATGACTGAAGAGGAGCAGATTGCTTTTGCCATGCAGATGTCAATGCAGGAAGCAAGTAAGTCTAGAAAGATAACACATTCCAACATTCAATTTCTAAATTCAGTATAATTTTATACCTATCATACTTTTCAGAAGAACAAGCTGAGGCCGGTGCTGAGCCCAGTGGCAAACCTAAGCAGTCAGAAACCCCAATGGAGGTGGATGGGGATGAAGACTTAACTGAAGTTATGAATGACCCAGCCTTTTTGCAGAGTGTGTTGGAAAACCTTCCTGGTGTGGACCCTCAGAGTGAAGCTGTCCGCCAGGCTGTAGGTTCACTCTCTAAGGATAAGGAAAAGCAGGAGAAAGATAAGAAAGAGAAGAAATAAATTAGGTATTTTATTCTACAAATTCTTCTATCAAAGTGAAGATTACTATAATTTTTGGGTTACAGTAGCTTGAGAGAATTGTTCACTGCATTTTAACAACAGTAAATATTAGGTGTGACTTCCCTTTTCCGTTTATTTCTTCAGTTGAATTTTACAAAACTTTTGTACCAGTCCTTGATAAACATCTCTCTGGACTACTCATTTTGATAATGTAAAATTACAGCTTTTCGAAGTCAAAGATAAATAAATTACTTTGGCTACTAAAACTGATCATACATGTCTTTGAAATTATTGGTCAATGCCATGTGGGGTGCAGTGCCTGACCTAGAGCAGGAGTTCTCACAGGGTCGGTGACGCGCCCGACATGGCTGCCAAATGGGTGGCCTACCTCCCCGGCTCTTCCGACGTAGTGTCGTGGCTGGCCTTAAAGCCGTAGGCTAGCGCGGACCAGCAGGACGGGTTAACCGAACTCTGTAACTGTCGTGGACTTTGCCACATGGAGTTGCTCAAGCAAGAGATGGAGCTATGCCAGCCCCTCCTGGACAATGTTCGGGCGGGTGCCGAGCCGGGTGTCCGGTTCGCAGCGCAGCTATTCTACAGCCGGAGGAGGGGGACATGATAAGCACAACCATAGCCGAAGCGTTAAAATAACTCGATCACGCCAACTTGTTCTGATTTCCCTGTCGGAAACGCGCCCGTATATGGGACCCGATCGGAGTGTTTTGCCCTCCGCCTGCGCGAGATACACACATGCTTTAGGCCGGCCCAGGCTAAAGCCCAGGCCAACCAACGAGGGCCTTCCGGTATTCCGATTGAGCCGCGCCCGCCGCGGGCCAAGGCGAGGGCCAGGCAGGCCAGCCCGTCCCGTCCTAGTCAGCGAGTCAGTCACACTATGATTATGACAGCCGCTGACCGTCCCTGATTGGCCAGGGTCTGCTCCACCACTTGCCTGACGCGGTGTCCTTCGCCGGGGTAACTTTGCGCGACGGGAGTGCCCCCTGAATCGGTGTAGAATTCTGTGATGATCATATAATAGACGCTTGAAGTGGGGTTCTCCGACCAACCATCTGGGTTGTGTTAAGTCCACACTTTTCCTGGAAAAATTTAAAACTTTTCCTGAAAAAATGGAAAACATTAAAACATTTCCAGAAAAATTGACAAAAACAAAAACAAAAATGAAACTTCCGAGGACCCAAAAAATGAGGTATTTTAAGAAAAAAAAATCTTGAAAATTTCCCAGAAATACTTCACCCGAAAATTTAAATACCTACATATAACTACCCCACCCACCTTCTCCAGCTCCCTCTTCTCCCCACCATGTCACAGTACGCGCGGTGCGGGACATTCGAACATACCAGGTGGCTGATTCACGCCGCGCACTTCTGTAGGTATACTGTACCGCAAGCACGAGTGCGGGCGGGCTTTGCCTATCGCCCCTGTCCACGGCGCCTTACGAGCCGAGCGAGTAGGCAACCCGCCCGCACTCGCGCATGCGGTACAGTATATCTTCAGAAGTGCGCGGCGTGAATCAGTCACCTGGTTGTATTATAAGGATTCATATTTAACTGGCTCAGAATCTATTCCTGAGCAAATTTTGTCCTTTCTGCCTCTTTGAACTAGTTGAACGCACAACCTATACTAATGAAAATAAATGTTAATCTCGTACTTTAGAAACACCGCTGCCAGCAAGCCCTTTCAGCTGAGCGCCTAATGGCATTCCCCGAGAACGTCGTTTGTTCGGTTTTGACTAGGTGGGGTCTCTGTGGAGCAGAATGGGCTGCCGCTGCCGAGCACTACATCGAAGACAAATCACTCAGATAGTTGAACAGTTTATTTGTTTGGAAAGGTTGTGGATGTGTGTGGGACCCGGGACCGGGAGGCCGTACGCTTGGCAGGCAGCGCCGCGCGCAGCCCGCCTTGTTGACCGGAGCCCTCGCCAACGACTCTCAACGGATTCCGTGGTGTAGCGGTTATCACATCTGCCTAACACGCAGAAGGTCCCCAGTTCGATCCTGGGCGGAATCATTTTATTGTATTTTCGGACACGTTTGTTTGGGTTTTTATCAGATGGCTGACTGACCCCCGCACTTTTGTAGGTATGCTGTACCGCATTCCTACGTGCGGGTGGATTGCCTACCCTCGGCCCGTAAGGCGCCGTAGACTGGGCGTGCGGTACAGTATAACAACAGAAATACGCGGGGTTAATCAGCCACGTGGCACAAGTAGGACTGAAAATATTTTATTTTTCAAACACAACCCATATTTTAGAAATCCAAGTGTACAAATGTCGCACACCTGCATATGTGTGAATGACTATTCGCACACACTGATATATAAAGTGTGCAACTAACACACACTTTAAAGTGTTTAACACCGTGTGGCATACTTCTATGTGTGCAACACGAGTTTTGAATAGTTAGAAGTGTTCAACAGGTGTGTTGCACACTTTTAAATGTTCAACCTGACCGTCGAGCGCTAATGGTCAACGCTCAAGTCGAACACTAAAAAGTGTGCAACACACCTGTTGAACACTTCCAACTTCCAACTATTCAAAACTCATGTTGCACACATAGAAGTATGCCGCACGGTGTTAAACACTATAAAGTGTGTGTCAGTTGCACACTTTATATATCAGTGCACTTGCGGCTAGTATCGCTAGCTATCTAGGGTACCGATTTTTATTCACTCACTACAAATGTGTGAATATTTTGTCGAACACCGACAGGTGTGTGAATGTTTTGTCGCTTACCTACAAGCGTGTGATTTTTTGCTCACCCACACACTTAGGATTTCCAGTGCAGTCATAAACGTAATATTTGCAAACATAACTGATACAGCGCAATAAATTTTCCCCCGGGAAAAAATCGGGGGGGTTACAGGGTTATCGCAGAGAGCAGAAAACTGATGCAAGCACTGCTAAAGTTTTATGTGTGCCAGTGCATTGCCCTCTGCATCACTTTGCTTACGCACATCTTAGCGCCAGGCCCCACTTACTCTATGCTCACCTCTTACAAAGTTTGACAAAAATTGCATCGGCCGGGAATCGAACCCGGGCCGCCCGCGTGGCAGGCGAGCATTCTACCACTGAACCACCGATGCTTCGTGTACGTTCCCAACATGCGGTGGAAAGTATAGCCGAGAAAGCAACGGTGCCGTCCTCC